CCTATTCTAAAAAGGGCGTTGAAGTATAATTTGTTCCCAAAACTTTATTTCGGTCCAATGTTTTTTAATTTCTACTAAAATAATGAGCTATTTTTCAGAATAGCTACAACTAGGTCCATAATAGCTACAAATAAAGAATTTTTTAATTTATTCTTTAAAAAATATTGGTTTTGATATTACAATTGGAATATAAAATTTAATTCTATTAATTTCCAAATTGTAGTTACTTAAATAATTAAATAATAGTTAATTCTAGCTTTAGATTAATAATTATCATGTGAAAACTTTTGGAAGCTGCAATTGCATCTCAGAGGCCACATGCGACCTCCGAGGCCATGGTTTCCCACTTATGATATATGCCTTTTGACCAATAATATGAACAAAAATTTTAGCCAATTTTAAAATGAACAGCCAAATATGCAAAATTACGTCCCATAAATTTGGTAAAATATTTTTTAAAAACTTGTAAAGACATCGACTCATATTTTTGAAAAAAATTGTAATATAAATATCCACACCTTTCTTATTATGTTTTCTTATCTTTTTATGAAATATGTTATAAATCTGACATATTGGCTTAAATATTATTAATAAGTTTATGATAAACAACCTTAATTTAGTTATTCATTTTTTTTTTTTTTGTTTTTGTGGAATTTTTATATAATTATTAAGATTTAACCAACCTGTAAACCTTTAAGATTTAATCAACGCACAGTTAAATTTTTTTTTCTCTCACAAATCTCATTTTTATTCATTTATTACTAAAACATCTCTTTAACATGAAGTTTTATTTTCTCTATATATTATACAATGTTTTGCCATTTTCAAATATTCTAAGTTTTTTTAACGAAATAATAATCTTTATAAACATTAATTATACATATGATGTTAAGTTGTCACATTGTAGATAATTTATATATTTAAAAAAAAAATTGCTATTAACAACAGGAGAAAAAACAAAACAAAGAAATTATAATTCATTGTATAATAATTTAAATTAATTATTATCACACTATAGGTAATTTATATATTTTTCAGAAAAACTGTTATAAACAAAAGGAGAAAAAACAAAACAAAAAAATTTGTGATAAAAAAAAAATTTGAAACTAATTAAATTTGTAATAATCAATATAACAATTACTATCATACTGAAAAAATTTGTTTAATTATTTTATGAAGGTTGTTTTTTTTAAATAATCATTTATTCTTTTTCTTATCCTCCATTTTATTTTTCAACTATTACAATATAAGTAAATGCAAATATGCATATACATATATATCTTGTTACTTTGTCCTTACACTACCCTATGACATTTTAAGAAAAGGAGATGGAACTGGTTTGAAAAATATGGCACGAGGCCATGTAACAACAATATATGTATTATACCTATAGAAAATAAAAATCCTAATTAAAGAGATGTTTTGTTAATAAGATAAGATCTGTAGAAGTATATGTGGTCTCTGAAAAAAAAAAAATTAACCGTGTATTGACTAAATTTTAATAATTACGAATACATTTTCCATTTTTACAAATATTTTAAACTAAATAAGGATATGTTAGACGTTAAACAGTAAAATAAACAAAAGTGTAAAAGAAATATTTAAGAAATGGCAGAGAGTTGAGAAGGGGAGTAAGTGGAAGGAAGAAGGCCATTACTAAAAGATTTACTAGATGTAGAAATTGCTCATTATAGCACTTAGCTTTAGTTTGGCACTACCTAACGGCGATCGGCTTGTCCGAGCATCTTATGCGATCGATCTAATTAATATCTTTTTATTATATTTTAAACTATATAATTAAAACTAAAAGAAATATTCAACCAAAAATTATTTAAACTGACATTTTAAAACTTTGTACGGAGATATTACAAATGTTCAAACCATACTCATAATAATCAGACATATAAATAAATAAAATAAGAGTAGCATATACATATTATTAAACATTAATAATAATAACAATAAAATTCACTTTCTTTCTTATTTTTTTTTCTTTATTTTCAATAAATCGTTAGTTTGTGGTGAAAAGTCATTAAAGAACATTGAAAACTTGCCGAAACTATTTTTGAATATAATTGCGTAAATTTAATTTTGATGTACTTAATGAAAAACTATAATAAAATTCACAAATATATCCTTTAAACTAGACCTGAAAATATTTCAAATGAAATATTTTAAAATACTTTTTTTGTATTTTACATTTTAAGAAATCTGAAGTACATTGGTTTTAATTGGATTTACTTTCTAAAACTAAGTAAAAATTGTTTTATTTAGTATTTTAAAAACACAAAATTATAGAATTAATAATAGAAGTATTTTCTATTTAAAATATTTTTCTATGAATAATTCATATACTTGGTATTTTAAAATATTGTTTGAAATATATTTTGCTTAGGTCTGCTTTAATGTATAGCTCCATCAAAATTTTATTTAATGACTTTTTTTTCAATAAACCGACGGACCATTTTCTTGAAAATTAATATAACTTTTCATCATTTTTATTAATTGTAACATAAAATATACAGACTTGCTAAGAAGAATTATTCATTAAAAGTTGACTTTCTCCAAGAAAATATCAAATCTAAACATATGCAGGTAAAAGCCGGTCATCATTATAATATGGTTTGATTGGCGTCTACCCACTATGATAATTTTTCTCTTATCAAATATATTGTCGCTTCCTATGTGAAACGACCTAACTGACAAGTCTTAACTTTTCAATAGAGCCCAAGTTTAAAAAAATCTTATTTGAACTATTTTTAAATCAGAAAGTGATACACTATATAGAGTAGAAAAGATTAAGTATTAACTGTTATTTGTAAAATTTTAGTAAAAATAAAATAATTTACTAATTTTAATTTCACAAATTGATCAAATATACCTTGAATACTTAAAAGTCATAGAATGCATAAATTACTTTTCAATCATGTTATGGCAAGAGCCAATTAAACGAACATAAAATAATTACACTTACTTAGTTTTAAAGAAAATAAATAATAATCAAATAAAATTCATTTTCTCCTATTAAATAAAGGGTTATTTCATGAAATATAATTATTTTTATTGATCTAATTTCATTTTAAATTTGTTTAAACATTAAATCTTAAAAAAAAAAAAAATAAGAACTCCCATTTATTTCTATAAAATAAAAAATTGATAACGTTTACTTATACAAGTCAATATTGAAAAAAATTATTTCCTTCAAACTATAAACCTATTAAACTGAATAATTAATTTTGTATATAAATATATTGTCAGTTTATTCAAAAAGTCACAGTGTACATTTTTGAATAAGTTGAACTTTTAAGAACATTTTTATGAATTCTGACTTTATATATCGATAAAAAAAAAAAAGTATGCCAAAGTGACAAAAAACCTTTAGACATGAAATATAACTACAATAACCGTACAATTATATGATTTTACAAATAGAAAATTTTTAATGATTTCCTTAAATCATTGAACAAGCTTATGAAATGTCATTTTTGCAATAAACCAACAACTCGTTTAAACAGTTAATCTTAAAACAAAAAAAATTATACCAGTTAATTCTCAGGTACTTTTCTATAAGATAAAAATTTCATAATTTTTACTTATTTGGTCCGCATTAAAAATATATATATATATATGTATATTTTCTTCGAACCATTAATCTATTAAACTGAATAATTAAGTTTTTTTTTAAATTTCAATAATACAAAATGTCTTTGGATAAATGTATGATTAATTATTGAGAAATAAAAATAAACAAAAAAAATGATCATAGTATACAATTTTTAATATTTTTATCAATTTTATTGTAGACAACCAACTACGTTTAATAATAATTATTAAAAATATACATACCTTGTTATTAATGGCATCCCTTGGGTTTCGGGAATTCTCATTTGTCAGAGCACCTCACCAACCGTGTGGTTGACCTCAGTTAAAATGTTGTCTATGGCGTCCCCCTCTTCACACTCCCTTCTTCTCGGTGATAATTCAGTCCAGCCTAAGACAGTGAAAACCATGGTCATTCAGATCTCTTATTGGTTCTGCAAGGCTTCTCTTGTTAGTGAGTACCTTGGATCAATTGACTCTTATCTTTTACTATTGTGCAAGCAGGAAGCTTAATAAATTCAATGGCCTCTAAAAATGTATCTTTCATAATATAATTTTAAATAATATAATGAATTAATGAAAAAGTACTTTTAAGGTGTGTTTAGACATTTCATAAACTTTGGGACTAACAAATATAAAAATGCTTATTTCACTATAATAGTATTTTTGTTTCTTGTTTTTGATATTTTCCACCTGCTGTCGGTATCAAAAGAAATAAAATAAATGGTTTGGTTTAGCAATAATGGCGCTGTTAGTTAAGTAAGATAATTCTGTTTCTCATAGTTTGTGAAATGTCTAAAGGCACCTTTAAGTTTACTATTAACTAGCCAGAATATGATTTAAAAACAGAAATAGAACGACATTGTATTTTCACTAAAGATAAAATTATCATGTCTCATAAAAGAGTTTTACTTGTAACATAAAAAATATCAGAATTTGTTAAAAAATATCTATTCTCAACATGTTTGTATTAAATCATAAAAATAATATTACTAACCATTTTTTAAAAAAAATAATCTCCAGACTAATATTTTTTTTTTATATTTAAAATTAAACCAGACATATTTCAAAAATGTTTCATATCTTTTAGGAAAACAATTCATTATTTATAGTATAATATCAATGATAATTAATTTAATAAGAATTTATAACAAAAAAAAGTCAACAATAGTTTTAAACAAATCTGTTAAAGAACTAATAGATAGGTAACCTGTTCATAACCTTCTTTCCTGTCCTCAATTACAGTACAATATTAAATACAATAAACTAATTTTTAAAACATTTTTAACAGATAATTTATATTGTAAAAAAATAGTATTTATTTATATGAGCAATGCAATTATTTTTATATTTAAAATTAAGCAAACACTTTATTCTAAGAAAATATATATCCTTTTCAGATCAGTGCTTGCATCTTGTTTTTATCAATACTGTTGTCAAAAAATGCAGTATATGGGCAAGTAAGTAATTTATTTTTAAATTATCTATTATAATTAATATTATATAATGATTGGAAAAAAAATTAACTATTCATAAAAAAATAAGTAATATTTAAGAATAAAGATGGAGATAATCCAGGAGTCAGCCAGAAATAACATAAAATAATTGCTGACTTTATTAAAATAATATATAATAATTCATAATAATTATACTGATTATTTATAAATAATCAGCAATTATTTGATGTTTTTCCTGACTGGCTCTTAGACCATCTCCTTGAAGAATCATAGGACAAACTAAATACACTTTAACCTGAATATGATTTAATTCTTAAAAAATAATATAATTAATTTACATTAAATACAGTTAAATAAAAAATAAAAAAATTAAGTATGGCTTAATTCATGAATTTTATTAAATTTAAATTGTTGTTTATCCATCACATATTGTTATTTTCAACTATATTTAATATTCTATTGTTTATTATTAACGAAATATTTTTCATATCAGAATTTTAAATTTACTTATAATTATTCAAATATATTTTAAGATAAAAAGACTCATTTAATGTTCTCTTAAAGTACATAACTTTTTTTATACAAAATTTAAGAATCAACATTTTTCAAAGAGATCTATAATTATTTAAGTATCTTAACTGTAATTAGAAAAATCTTAAATTTTATATAAGTTTATTAGAATTTATTATTTTTGTTAAATATTTCTTCATAACATCATATTAAAAATAATATCAACAATTACAAGTAAATAATGTCATAATTATATATTACTGTAAATATATTTATAATAAAACTATAAAGCAATTTTAATCATCACTCATTAATGAACTTTAATTTTTAGTTCTACTTACAAGATGGACAAATACAAGATTATTATCCGAGCAATGATCACAAGACCGAAACTCTAAAAAAAGTAAGTACTTGAAATATATCATTGATACAACATTGTTTCTAAACAGCCGACTGCCTGAACCAGAATGAATTAAAATTTACATAATGGAGTTAACTAGAGCCAGATTAACACGTTTCCTTTATGTAAATTAACTATTTGTCTACTTGCATTGTAAGCATTGACGGATATATCACTATCTTTGGAAGCTATTGTGCAATCCCAGGGTAAAAATAAAAATTAAAAATGTATTTATATATATAAAACAACAAATTAAATTTTTTGTAATGCTGGTAAACATTTATTTTTATATTAAAATTTAAACTTATTTTATTTGAAGTTTTATTGAAAAGAAAATTATATTACTCACACTGGTTTAGTTCACCGCTAAAATGATCTGAGCATTGAGGTATTAAGGCATCATGTGGGATTTATAAGATGATAACCGATTACTATACTTATCTAAGGATTTTAGAGATATTTGTGTTGAGAAATAAGAATAAATAAAAAAACTTTAGGCATGTCGCCAGATTAAAAAAGAGATATTTGTTACTTTAGAACTATTAAAACATTTCTATAATACTGTTTAATTCCAAGAGATTAAAAGAAAAAAAATTCTTAACAAATCCATTTTATGTATGTTAAAAAAGGAACATTAAATTTCATGTAATGTTTTAAAAGATTATTCTTCTGAGATCAAAATTAACAACAAATACAATTTTTTAAATATTAAAATAATTGTGATCTTTTCTTATAAAATTATTAAATATAATTTTTATATATAAATAAAAGATTATAATTTAAGGGAATAAACTTAAGGGCATATTTTAGAAACACTATTTGGAATCTGTGATCACACTAAAATGAAATTGCTTTATTAGTGTGAAAAAGTTAATAACTCTAGCGATTTTTTTTTCAAGCCTATTTTTTAGCACACGACAATTAAACTATATTTTTAAAAAGGGCAGATTGTAAATAAAATACGACAAATTAAGATTCTGTGTTAAATGCAAATAATATTTTCAGATTTTACTTAATGTCAGACAGAGGCGAGACAGAATTAATTAATGTCTATCCAAACATACGATATTGCAACACAATTTCTATTTCTGACTAACATGTGATAAGAATTGTATATTTTATAAGTTCTTTCAAAAGAAATGAAAATAACTCATCTTTTTTACAGACATTTAAGCCGCTATGCCATTCAATAAAGAAGGAAATAGCGATGGAAGATGATGAGTTTGAATACATGCCCTCTTCGTACGTTGAATACATATGCACAAGGCCGGAGAGGAAAGATCAGATCATTACAAAGGAAAGCCATGTGAGTGAATAATACAACACCATTTTGATTTATTTATATAGACTAATAAGTAGAAATTAATGCTTCTAAAGGCTATTTTTGAAACTATTCTGAATTCATAAATACTATAATTGAAAGGATCAAATGGATAAAGGTGATAAGTAATATATTTACAGTTCTGAGAATGAATGAATGAAAATAGCTTTTATTTTTTATTATGCAAAACAATGAAAAAAAAAAGTATACAACAGTATACTTGTAAATTAGCTTTTACTATTTTTTTTCTGAATTTAAGTAACCACCTCACATTCACTGGTTGTCATTACCACTATGACAGGTGTGAATAAAAAAATTAAACCAAAAAAAAAAGTAATATAAATATAAATAATACATATAGTAGCTCTTTGATAAACAGTTTAATTAACAACTATATATTCTACTAATTTGAAAATGCTTTGTACTAGCCTTCTATTTTGTAAGAGGAGTAATGGTCTTACAGTTTCCAAGGTGACCAACCCAACTGGGAAGTGTGTTTCGCTATTTGCTTCCATATTTTTTGAAGTAGTCGCTCCATCTATTCGGTTGTCTTCCCCAGTTCCAATTGTTGCCTTATGGTGTCTATTTCGTTACATTATATGACCATCTGTCATCAGAGAGTCGTAACAGATGTCTTGTCCATTTTCATTGATTTATTAGTATAGAAGAGTCCCTGAGTCCTGTTTTTTTCTGGTTATCAATAAATTTTATTTTATATTTTCTTTTGATCTTTATCATGCTTCTATCTAAAGCATTTTCCCAGACTCTTATTTTCTTTTCTTGATATTTGGCTTCCATAAGACAAAACTGGATGCACATTTCAAAAGTTTATTTTTTGAACATTTACTTTCATAATAAATTTTAGGGACCAGTATTTCTCCCAGTTCTGCAAAATTCTTCTTTGTATTTCTTTGTTCGTTCTATCAGTGAAAGAAACAAGTTGCCCCAGGTAAATGTGTATTGTATACACAGGTCTGAGAAAATTGAATTTAAATAAAATCTGAAACTGGTACATTTTTTTAAGAAAGCTGATATCTAAGTTTTGACAATTGTTTGAATGGAGGAAAAAGCTTATAATTTTTATGACAAAAAAATTAAATATGCTGTCTACATTTAAATCATTTTAAAGTAGAGAGAAACACTTTATTTTCATAAAATATAAAATATAAAGGATTGCTGCCCAATTATATTGGGTTGCTATATACACAGCATACTCTTCTATCCTTAGGACAATATATGAACTTATATATAAATATACAGAAGTATTAGTTAATATTAGTAAAATATATATATATACATTTTTACTTTATTTATTTTTTTCCTTTTTTTTTTTTCTTTCCTTTTTCCTTCCTTTCATTGTTCATGCTTTTTTTTTTTTTTTTTTAACATTTAGTTTCCCTTTCTCTCACTTCTCTCTCTTTATCTCTATTGTTTTCAATTATTCATTAAATAAATACATAAATTAAAACTCTCGGGCTAGCCATACACGTGGTGGTGAATGATTCCCAGGGAGTCGAGGACTATATTTTCAGCCAACCTCGCTACGTTCTTAATGTCGACAAACTAATTTTGCCTGGAGTCTAATACTCTATCGTTCCCAAATATAAATAGAAGTTCTTATCGTGGTGATAAGAAGTTTCATATCAGCTACAGAACCTACATAGAGGTGAAGATATGATAGTTCAGTTTACAGAGACCTCTATAGATGGCTATAATTTCCTGAAGAGAATTCCTGCTCAGGTTAATTAGCAGACTACTTCTCTTTGCTCAGAATACAATCAGGAACAGCCTAGAATGAGTCTGTTTTTTTTATAACACTAGTATTTCTTGAATTTTGCACCATAAATCTCCCCGATTCTTCTTTTTATTAGGCTCATGCTAATACCGCATATTGGTTCCTCCATGAGAACCACTCCTGACTAATTCTTACGCCGTCTCAATGCCAGGAATACCAGAGTGACATGGTACCAGTTGATGGTAACCTTATCGAAAATAAATAAATTGTGAAGGACTCAGCAGCAATCCCTAACAACTTTAGATCTAGTCGTATAATTGCTCAATGCTCATATTGGAACCTGACTGTTAGTAAGGATAGTAATCTTCTGTTAAATGTTACCTTGTTGTTGTTGAAAGCAAATGATACCTTCCTTTGTAAAAGATCAAATCCTACTTTTGAGAATCATTAACGCATGGATTTTTCATTTATTAAAATAGAATATAGTCCGTGGTACAGACCCATTTTATCAAATTATTAACATCCGGCTGAAACTTCATAAATAGCTTCATCTCATCGTAACCTACAAATATTTTATTTATGAAAATTCTCGGAAATGCGGCGTTTTCAATCTGGGGCAGAGGGGCAAAGTTTGTCTATTTAATTAGGTACTAAAAACTGGTAAATACCCATTTGCTTTCCACTTGAATTATAAGATAACTTGAGCACAAAGTCAGGGAAAAAAGATGGTCTTGTTTGTCAAAATAACGAGGTTATATAGGAAAAACAGCCTTATATTTTTGTAGGGCACCCTTTTTCCTGACTTTGTGCTCAAGTTATCTTACGATTTAAGCAGAAAGCAAATAAGTATATACGAGTTTTTAGTACCTAATTAAATAGACAAAGTTTGCCGACCTCCAGATTGAAAACACCGCAATTCCGAGAATTTTCGTAAATAAAATATTTGTAGGTCACGATGAGATGAAGCCATTTACTAAGTTTCAACCGGTTGTTAATAATTTGATAAAAAGGGGTCTGTACCACGGACTAGTAATTTTCAAATAAAAGTTTCATTTCTTAGGTATGAAATGTTATTTATAATTTGAAATATGTTTTATTACAGATGTGCACCTTTCCTGGATTCGAATGCGTACAGCGACGTGAGCAAATGTCTATAGCAAAGAGGAGAAAAGGAAGTGAAATATGGGAATTTTACACACAGAGCATTGCATCTGATTGTGAATGCATGCTTCCAACATTTCAATTACCATCAATGAGTGAATAAAATAACAATAGATACAATACATATATGTAAATGTTTGAATAAATAAACATTTTTGAGATAGTTTGATTTTTAAATTGTGTACATCCTTATGGTTTAAAACAGAGGTCTTTAAATATTTTGGTCTCTGGGCCACATAGAGAGCAAGTCCCACAGGCCATGGCTTGAGATGAAAAAAAATCGTGTTCTATAAATGACATTTCAGTTATGAAGAAATGAGTTTTTTAAGAGAAACCACATATGCAATAAACTTTGTAAAAACCTTTGTTTGAGTGATTTACTAAATTTTGTATTTTTTAAATAATGGTATAATTTAAATTTTACCATGTAATCAAAGAAAATGAAGACGCTTCCCAAATTGCCTGAAGGCCATACTTTGGCGATTCCTGCTTTAAAAGGTCAAGTATGAATAATATTCGGACAACTTTAGAATAATTTTTTTTTTTTATTCATTGATATTTACAACAGTATTATAAAAAAAAATACAACTAGTAAATGTGCACTCAGGAATATAATAACATGAAATCTCTTGTTGAGAAACTACACACTGGTAGCACCCAAATAATAAATTTAAATAAGATCACGAGGCCACCTTCTTTTCAGATGACTCGGAGGATTATTAGGGACCGAGGAGGAAGCAAGGTTTGAAATGAGAGGATTTAGATGGTTCTGCAGTTTGTTATGAAAGGATAGGTATCTGGATTGGGCCAAATCGGATACATATGAAACATTAAGGTCTTTATGGATGATTTTATTTGTGACAAAGTAAGGAGCGTCGAGGATTTTGGATTGTAAGGATTGGATACGAGAGGAATTCGATGGCTTAGTGGAACCCCAAAGCTCAATTGCATAAGTCCAAATAGGTCTTATTATTTCCATATATATGAGTCGTTTGTAATTTATTGAAAGCTTAGAGCGTTTGTCTACTAAGTGTTGGAGTAGTCGGAAACGTCGAGCGGTTCTTTGCCGTTTCAGACTTTAGAATAATAAAAATATTATAATTTTTTTATATTATGTCATGGATGATAAGTAACAGGCTGACTGACAGCTTACTTTTTATGATTTCTGTATAAAAAAGGTTTAATTTAATCCTATCCATTGTTTACTTGTCAGTTTAAAATACAATAGATAAATCATCTTTCAAGTCTGTTGAATTACTGTCATAACACCTTAATAAAATACTTATCTTCAAATCCTCAGCACATTTTAATTATTAGTATGTCTGAATAGGGTAAGTGTGCTGGGAATATGAATAACGGAGTATGACTGTAATATAATTGACTTGAGAAACATTTCTAAGGTAATAAGATATTATCTTTTGTATTTTAAACTGATAAATAAAGAATAGTTCTAAAGATGGGGATTATCGCCCTGAAATGTTAACCATGATGTATTACTAATAAAATAATTAAATTTTTTTATTTTTTAAAACATTTTGCGAATTATAATCTAGTTAGCATGTGTAACAGAAAGCTCTTCATTGAAACCAACTATGACATAATTCTTGATACATCTGGGAAAAACATATTTTAAAATACATTATTTTGTACTTTAATTATAAAAAACAAAATACTTTCTGATAGACGATTAGCATATAATATAGAGAACACACTGTATTTGTTTTTTTTATTTTGTTTATTGTGTATTCAAAATACAAATGCTTGTTTTTTTTTTAGTATTTTTTATTTTAAAAAGAAAATACATTTACAAACAATCTAGTTTATATTTTACTTCTTTCAGTGTAAAATACAAAAAAATGTATTTGAAAATACTTTATTTAACATACTGTCCAAGTCTGATTCTTATACAGATACGCTTATAAGAAATAGATTTTCATCGTAACAACACAAATTTGTAAACTAATTAAGAAATATATCCTAGTTTGATTTATAAGCAATAACCTAAACTAAGATTTAATTCATAGTTGGCAAACAACTTGTTAAGCGAAAAAAACAATGGAAATTAATAAGAAAAAAAACGTCATTACCCTACATTAATCCATCAGGAAGGGCCAACATAGAATTAAAAGCTCACTAAATTATTTCACGATCTAAATCTAATAACTAGGAATGAAGCAATGATTGGATACTTCCATAAAAAAAAAAAAAAGTATTATTATTTTCAATTTTATGGATATAAGAAAAGGAACCAATTGAATAGGCTATTAAAAATAAAGTTAACAAATTAATAATTTTATTAAAAACTCTAAAACTGTATATACAATATACATTTCTCGGCATATCTCACAAATGAGGTATCGCATTCATAATTATAGGTACCGAATGAAACTAGAATCCCCATTCACATTTCACAAGGTTAAACCATAAAATTATTTCCAAGCATTAGCTTTATGCTTAGGTAAAAACGTAAAACCTTCAGGAACTGGACCAAGCAACATCTCACTGAAAAAAATAAAAGTAATTTAATAAGATGAAATATCACTTCAAGTTAACTTTAAACATAAAAAACAATAAAGTTCAGGAAACTCGAAGATTCAATACTGATACCAAAAAGAGCAATAAATACCTTCCATTACCAATTAAGCATTTTTTAGTATTATGTAGGTTTTATTCTCATCGATGTTCTCCAACAGGGCTTAAATGACTAATTTTCAATATTAACTTCCACTAAAGTACCTTTAATTTTTTTTATTTGAAATAATTGACCATTTCACATTGATCTCTAATATAAAAAATAGTTAAATATAAAATATGAAAGAATTTGATTATTGGCGATATAAATATGAAAATTGGTATATATAAGAGTACTTAAACAAATAAAAATATCCACAATGAAATATAAAACAATATAACGTTAATAATTTTTACTTTCACTTCCCCTATGTCTGAAAATACTTATTTCCGCTAAGAGGGTGGTAGGTGAAAGTTGTGTAATGTGTGCACCGAACAGATTTTTTAAATTTAAAATAACATGAAGACATGATGTTTATATGGTTCAGTTGGAATTTAAGTTAAACGAAAAAGAGAATATAATCGCCATAAAAATACCTCAATGAAAAAAAAAACTTAAACAAATGTATAAATATAAAAAGGGTAAAATATTTTAAATTTTACTAAGAAATGAATAGATTACCTTATTTTTATCCAGTCTCCCGAGTTAGGACTAGCAAAAAGTGTTTCTAAATCGTCCCTTCCAGTATAATATGGTGGCCTCTGGTTTACTTTCTGTGGAGGCTGAACAAGGAGGCCAGTAGGAATATAGCGATGGCAAAAAGAAAGCCATTCCAGCAAGAATCTTCTGGTCGTTTCGACTCCCTGAAGGTTTTAAAAAAGTTATTAATCTACACAATACATATAGGATGGATTTTGATGAATGAAGCAAAAAAAAAAAAAATAATTTCATGAAAAAACTTTAATTTCATAGCTTAAAAGAAACTACAACTATAATACAAACTATAATACCATTTAGAAAGTTGAGAAGTTTAAAAAAGAATGAATCGAGATGGGATAAATTGTTTAAAAGATTTTGACGCAGACATCAAGAACTGGTATAGTTCCATCGGAGCTATACTAAGCCCTATCTTTTAAAGCCAAAAAATGTACTGTTTTTGAGATAAACCTGCTTGCTGAAAATCTCTTAGGTGCAATTATTGTCTTGGGATATTTATCACATGTTTAGGTTTTAAAAATAAAATTATTGCTATTTATTATAGTCTCCGATGAATTCAAAATATATTAAAAAGCTAAATGGACAACTCTATGATCCCTTGGGCTCTTTGGTTAATAAAGAAAGAAACTTTTTGATATTTTTATGGGTTATATATATATATATATATATATATATATATATATATATATATATATATATATATATATATATATATATATATATATATGTTTAATATTTCATATTAGGTTCGTAAATTCAAAACAGCAGTAAACACCCTCAAAAGTTCATTCAAAGGTTTTATTTTAAATTTAAAATTCACAGGTGTAAGTAACCAAGATCTGCATACAAACAGAAGATTATTTACAAAATTTTAGGAAATATTTAACTGTACCTTCTTCGTAAGAGAGCAATTGCTAAATTTTAATCAAATTTGTCTAAACTATCAACTGTAAACTAAATTCACTATAAACAAATCAAAACTAATATCGGTAAAATATCAAAATAAATTGCACTTGTTAAACAAAAACTAACTTTTAACCTTAAATGTTTAACACTAAGTCATAAATTATAAGAGGTTAGGTTATACAACTTGTAGAGCTTTACAAAATTTCATAAAATATATAAACCATCGAACTTGACACATTACTTTCCTTGTTGCTATGCCGTAGACGAGTAAAAATTAATTTACAGCATCATCATTACCGAGAAGGTTACACGGTTAAGCTTACAGCACTTTGATATGAAGCCATTAAAGGGGGCATCAGATATAATTGGACTACATTTACAAGCAAATCACAAATTTATAAATAAATATACATGAGTGCACTTCACAGAACTTACCTTAGTATCAGAACCCCAATGCTCGAGACCGTAATTTACATAAGTCTTGAGATATCCGAACCTCTCATGCGAAGACGGATCCATAAGCCTCTTTTCCTTGATCTCCTGGAATATCCAAGGTTTGATCAGAGCTCCCCTTCCTATCATTACTCCTGCAATGTCTGGTGCTTTTTCCTAATGAAACATAAAGCAATTAAACTTGATATGGCTTTTACTTTTACTTACACATATAAGAAATAAATACTAAATGAAAGTATTTTTATCACAAATTTTTTTTAATTTTTCAACAGTAATAGACATTTTGAGGACCCTTGAGTCTAAGCAACCAAGTCTTACAAAGCATTCATGTGCTAACTCAAAAATGGAAAGTCACATAAAACTTAAACAACATATTGAAAGTATGTATACACCTCAAATGTTGCATAAATGTTTTCAGTAAAATCAGCTAACTGCAAGTGGCACTTTATATAATAATATAATAATAATAATAATAATAATAATAATAATAAGCCTTAGCGAACCCGAAGGTTCGATGCCGACACCACCAATCGCTTGTTACACACCTCCCTCCACCGTTCGCCGTCCAAACCCAGTCCCTTCAGATCGGCTTTAATGCAACCTTCGCTTCGGTCTACCCCTCGGACGCTTACCATTCGGCACAGCAAATATTAACCTTTTAGGAATTCTCTCATTACTAAGCCCAACAACTTTACAAGCCCATTTGATTCGCCGCGATGAAATTACCTCAATTATATTACCCGGATACAGCTCACGCAATTCGGCGTTGTGTAACCGTCTGAACTCTCCGGTTAACTCATCCTTCTTCGGTCCGAATATTCTACGCAATACTTTATTTTCAAAAACTTTAAGACGCTGTTCATCCCTTAATGTAAGCGGCCAAGTTTCGCATCCATAAAGAACTATAGGCAAGATAATTGTTTTATAGATTCTAATTTTTAAGTTTCGGGACAAGAGGCGCGAACTAAGTAGTTTTGTCACAGAAAAATAACAAGCATTTCCCGCCTTCAGTCTAACCTTAATCTCTTCTTCAATTTCGTTTTTTATAGTTATCGTAGAACCTAGATACCTAAATTTATCTACCTGTTCAAACATATTACCATCTATATCGATATCACCAGTAGTATCGACATTTTTGCAGCTAACCATGGTTGGCACTTTATATAATCAATTTTATATATTTTTACAATTTCATCAAAAAGGGCTCTAACGATTTTCATTAAATTTGTTATATCAATGTACGATTCAATAGTTTTTAATATCACCTAAGCCTTAGCCTCATTGATGCAGTCTGACAAGGTTTAAATGCAGACTTTTAAAAATTCTTCCTCTAAAGTACCTTTAATACGATTTATTTTAAATAAATAACTATCTCTTCTGGGTTAGTAGCAATAAGAAATGGCTAAATGAAAGAATTTGATAATCAACAGGAGAAAAAAAGGACTTATTTTCCCAGGTTGGACACAAATTTTTTGAAACATAAATATATATCAATAGAAAGCTAAAGATTTTAGAAATATTAATATTTAACATATAAAGTAGTAGGAGGTAATGGAGAGTGATAATAATAATTTTATTAATAATTTATTTAATAATACTTGAATAAATATGAAAACAAAATTACTTTATTTAAATTATTCTTGACTGACTAGAAATATATATGAATCAACTGTTGCATCGTTCTTTAAAAATTATTTTATCAAACTATTTTGAGAGAAGTGCAAGGGCTACTGAATACATTTCAAGCAGAGTTTTTGGTTCGATAAAACATATGGTAATAACATTTATTTATTTAATAACTTTAGCCACGATAAAAGATATAAATATTTAATTGGGTTGGTAAGTGAAAGTCATGTGATAAACACCACACCAGATTTTTAATTAAATAATTTTTTATATTTAACAATTAATGTTCAACACAATTTCCTCGAACAGTTGTACTGGGATTTTCTTCAAGAAAAGCCCAAAGAACATGATCATCAAGGGAAGAAGTCCTTCTCGAAATTAGTTAAACCATTGTTGAATAGTGTACTCAAATTGCCATTACCCCAGACTTCATTAATGTTTCTGGTCTTTTGGACACCCTTCCGATCGAGTTTTAAATTATAAAACGAATGATGCGAAAATCATGCTGTAACGCCTTAGTAAAGATTGAATTATTTTTAACTAGGGAAATGCTACAGAAGATAAAAAACATTTTTGTTTAGAAGAGGATTAAAATGTTTTGATACCTATACAAAATGATTATCCTTCAAATTTTTTTTTTTTTTTTTTTTATGTACATTACACCATGTCATAATGATAAATTACATGTTTGTGGTTGCAGTAACCTTATACATGACATACTAGTGGTATGAATGCTGTTTGGAAAATTTAAATCCATTTTTTACAGTAGGAAAAACCTCATAAAAAACCTACATAAGATATAAATGAAAAACTAGAGGAAATGTAATGAAAAACTTCAAATGTTAACAATTAATTATATAGAGGGTTAAGGGTTAATATAATGAAAACATAAATTTTGTATTGAAATAAAAAAAATTGTCAAAAATTTTAGTTAAAATTTCTTTAAAGGATTAGCCAATGTTTTAACCTAATCATGAGGGTCGAAACGCTGGCTAATCCATTAAAGAAACTGACTGAAATTCCTGACAATTTTGTTTTATCCTTATAATTCATCAGTTGACTATTTACCCATCTCTGAAATTTTGTATAATTTTCCGGACAGCCCAATGTATATATATTCAATATACAACTATTAAGATTTATGTACGGTCTTAATTAATAAATCTATATTAATAACTTAGAGTAAGTTGATAAAAATTAATGAAATTCCAATAATATTATTCTTAAATGGTAAAAAATTAAATCAAAACTTCTAACTTTTGCAGCCATATAATCTTCATAAGAGAGGATGTCACCGTTGCCAAACACTGGAGTCGGTTTTGCAGCTTCAGCGCACTGCTGAATATAGTCCCAATCTGCGTTCTTCGTGTACCTCTGTTCTCTTGTCCTACCGTGGACCTAAACACAATTTTTATAAATATCAGAACTTAAAGAAAAAAAAATTAATATAAAATGTCCTGAAAACAACTCATCTCAGACAAAATTTTTGTAATTTTTGAATTTTCAACTTAAAACTAAATAGAATTATTCATATACTAAGGTAAACTCACCGTGACAAGGGATACTCCAGCATCTTTAAACATCGGCATGAAGTTATGGGCGATATTTTTTCCAGTCGCACAACCAGACCTCGTCTTGACGGTCAATGGAACGTTGAGCATGCAAGACATCGACCGAACAGTCGATTTTAAAACATGTCCTCTTAATAGAAGGCCACTTCCAGCACCCTAATGAAATCATGAGTTAGTTTTCTATAATTTTCACTAATCTGATATATGTAGTTAATTTAAAAACTAGCTGGCCCATTAGAACATTGTATTGTTTATTGATCAAATGAAAAATCAGTAAGAAAATAAAATAATGCAATGTATCATGAGATAGAAAAATCTATTATTACTTTCTCACTAAATATAATTGACAAAGGAAACAAAAATTAATTTAAAACTTCATTAATATTTGGAACCAATGTGTTCACAAATTTTAATAAGCTGTATTTTTGCTAATAATTGTCCGATTTTGAAGTTTCAAAGAAAAAAGTGTTTTATTTCTAGTTATTTGCAAATTAAGTTTCTTTTCTTTCATAAAATTTTTGCCTGAATTTTCGGGGTAATTGAACTATTGCCTCCACCTGAAGGAGAAGGAAATCTTCAACATTAGTGGCTCAATCTTGGGATTTGATGAAGAATTAATGATGGTACGGCTTACCGACAAAAAAACACTTCAGATAAATAATATTAACTCCTCCTCTATCAATTTGGCTTGTGATGCCAGGTCCATGTTGGGAATGAGGTGTTGGATGGCAGCTGCACAGGATAGGAACGATTGGTGAAGGCTGGTACGGGAGACCAAGATTCGATATTGAGTTGTCGAGCATCGAGTTGACAGAATAGAATAGATAAATAATATTAACTCCTCCTCTGTCGATCATAGGGAACACAAGTCGACGAAATGAGACATGTATTTCATGGCAGCGCTACTATTAACGTCAGGTTGTGTGAATGCTAATCCTTTGCCTTGCATTATCTTCAGAATAGTACTTTTTTGAGCCTAAAAATGCAGGGCTCAAAAATGTTATTGATGGGCTATTGAAGCCTAGCAAAATGTTTTCATAAACTTTATCAATTTTATAAACAACAACAAAAACAAAAAGTCACTAACTAAACTCCCATGAAATTCTGAATCCAACAGTACCCTACCTATTCATGGTTTTTAAGCATGATAGGAGGTTATATTTGGTAAAAAATAGGTTTCGAGCCTTACTGTAATAACATATGAGGAGATAAATTTAAAAAAAAATGTGAATAAAATTTGCAGTTCTCGGAGAAAATATCTATTTTTTCAAATCAATCTAAACAAAAGCTGATTATTTTATCATAACCATACCTCTGACTTACATATTTCGATTAATATGAATTAACATTTACATGATTAAAGAATTGACTCCTCATAATAAAAAATAAATAAATCAGAGTAAAATTTTGGATTATCTCATAACAAGTTTTAATATTGGCAAATATTTACAGATCAGGAAAAATTTCATAAAGTATGTACGGTGATGATATCCTTGCATATTGAGATCCTAATGTAAAAATAGTGTAAAGTAAGACCTTATAAATTCATGTTTAGCCGATATTCAGAGATCGGATATATAGGCAACACTCCACTCTTTGTATCGGTACTTAGCATCGATGTTCACAAAGCTTTATTATTATAATTTGCCAGTTAAAAGAACTTAATCAAACCAGAAACTTATTCTGAGAGAGAATATTACCTGACGGTATATAGCCTCTATCGGACAGCCGAGGTTGATATCTATGAAGTCCACATCAGCTAAATCTTCTACGACCTGAGCGGCTTTAGTCAATACCTTTACATTTGATCCACACAGTTGGGCACCAAAAATTTTTTCACTAGGGTGTCGTTTCACCAATGCCCACTCTGACTGTTCAGAAAAAAATAAAAACAACAATGTTTAAATTATATAAAATTAAACTTGATGATACATTAATAACAATAACAATGGGAACATAACATTTTCTTATCACTGCTAAATATAAAGTACACACAAAATTTTTCATTAGTAATAGTTCACGAACTACTCATCACTATTGGCTCTAGGAACCTGGTTGGATGCATCGTCATCATTAAACATACACAGTAAAATTAAAATAAATAACTAATCAAAGTAAATAAAATAAGCTGATGATATACCAATGATCCTTGAAGAAGAGGCGTTGCAAGAGCCATTTCTCCACAGGTAATGTCGGCACCAAAATCCACACACAATCTTCTGAACGGGAGGTTTCCGACAGTAGTCAGAGGAGACAAATAGAGCTTATCACGCCAGTCTATCTAGAGATAAAAATTAATAAATCTTGTAATAATAAACGCTCAGCGAACCTAGAGGTGTTACACTTCTTTTTTTAAGTGTATCTTATTATTTTAAGTTATTACTTTTAAAAAATGTTTGACCTCTTTAATTTATGAATAGGAAAAAATGTATATGTTTCAATGTACATATTGCGTAGTTATTAAGATGTTTACAATGTAATAGAATCGGTTTTAAAAATAACAGAAGCTTTTCAGCCAGCCTTTAATCAGAGGCAGCTGGACAAGCCCTCATTATAAACAGGCGAGGACAGAGAGCCTTAGGAGACTTGTGTGTCAAGCTCTGCTAACAGCTTCGCTGGATTCTATTTCTCATAAATCTGCCGAGTATTAGATCGAGAGGATCTGATACAAAACTAAGAGGAGGACTAGCATTCGAAGACGAAGACACTGGAAATTTGACTCAGCAGAGGTGCTACAGTTGAAAGGAAAGGCTGCCGTATATTTAGATGAAAAGGATCCCATCTAAAGTAACTGATAAGATAACAGTTTTTTTCCCCTTTAAATCATTATTTCTCTAGTTTAGAACTCTCATTTTAATTTTATTTTATTTTAAAATTGTTTCCATATATTTTTGTTAGATTAAGATCTTATTTTTTTAATTTAGAAGATTTTAGTAGTATTTAATTATAATTGTTTGCGTTATATTATAATTTGTCAACTTTTTCCTACTTCCTAAGGTTTATTTATTTTTTTTTTTAAATTTCCATTATAGTTTTGTATCATTTGAAATTTTTTGTCGTTTTATTGTAAGAAATGATGTGGCGCCCAACTTTTTTTCTTTTTCTCTAATAAATATTATACTAATTTTAATTCTAATTGTTTTCTTTCTCTTTTTCTTCATGACCACTCGCTTCCCCTTCTTCAATGAGCTGGAGAGAAAATTAAAGCTTACTTCATTACAGATTCCACAAAATTGTCTATATACTTCTAGCTATCAGCTGCCGTCCAAACCAGCCAGCCTTAATACAATCCTCCCACCTTCACATCAGTATAACGCCAGGAAACTAACCAGTCGGCACAAGGCGTATAAACCTTTCAGGAATTCTTTCATTACTAAGACCACTAATTTTACATTTCATTCACCGAAATGTAATCATCTCAATTATATTTCCTAAGTACTGTTCATACAATCAGCGTTGTGCAGGTATCTAAAACTGATTGACTCGTCCTTTTTCAGTCTGAATATTCTACGCAATACTTAATCTATAAAAACCTTAAGATGCTGCTCATCTCTTAATATCAACACCCACATTTTTCAATCCTTAAGAACTGCAGAATGGATAATTTTATGATTATGATTTTACAAACCTTGATTTTAAAGTTTTGAAATCTGAGGTGCAAGGTAAATAGTTCTATAATAAAAAAGTAATAAGCATTCACCGCCTTCAATCTCACCTTAATTTCCTCTTAATTTGAAAAGGATTCTTTATATGTGCAAGCCTATTTATTCCCTTCTATAAGCCCATCACTAAAATAGAACTGTCTTTGCTGCAAAACTTATATTTTGCCAAGTCAATATTTATTGTTCAATAGTATCAATAGTTCTTAACCAGCTGTTTTCATCAATAATATTGTATTCAGTTATTACTTAACATCAGCGCATAACCAAGCAAGGATGTCATTCCACCCAGACTTAAACTTTTTTCGGTACGTATTACTTCCTCTCTCTAATGCTAAATTAAATAGAACAGAAGAGAGGGAATCAGCTTGCTTTTAGTCCAAACTAAATAATTAAATAAATCTTACAAATGTGCAAGTTCAGTGTGATAAGCCAGTTTTAGGGATAATTGACAAAACGAGAATATCTATGCTATAAATCCATTGATTTGTGAAAGTATACTATAGACATCTATAACAAGAAATAGAAATCGCATCACAAAATTGGAGTTTCAGTCAAGTTAAGAAACATTTAATTGATTAGTCACAACAGATAGATAAAGAATAAACAAATAAGTGGTCCATAATACCTTTTTCATTTCCTCAGGTCTTAATTTTACATAATGCAGATCATCGACAGTTCCAGAAGCTTCTTTGGCCTTTAATTTGTCTATTTCCTTTATTGCTTCTTCACTCCGTGAAAAGTCATACATTTTCTTACGAAGCTGAAACTGTGCCTAAAAACAAAATCAAACAAACAATTTCTATTATATCACTGCAGATTACTAAAGTAAACTAAATAGGGGACAACAATAGAGATTAATTAATCAGAACAAAATTAAATATTGATAGAAGAAAAAAAAAATAGTTTTTTTAATAATGTCATTGCCTTGATTAGGTGGATTTTAAATACTTTTTTCAAACTTAAAAGATATTTTTTAAAGTTTACATTTAGTTAGTAAATTTCATTTAATTTCCTTGAAAACATGTGATTTACGTTAAATAATATTAGTTTTAAAAAACTATTATTTATAATTTTATTGCCACTCTCTGTTACCTTCTACAACTTTCTATATTAGATATTGATTTTTCTAAAATTCTCGGCTTTCCAACGATATATTATACCTAAACCTTCTGACTAGTATTTCCGGAGATTCATTTTCGACATGGATAAGCATTTTTATTTTTTTCTCCTTTATTCAATTATCAAATTCATTCAAAAGTTATAAGTAGCATTTTTTCGTAACTGCTAATAATGGGAGATAGTTAATTATTTAAAATGAACCATATTAAAGGTACTTTAGAGGAAGGAGCATATGAACATTTAAGCCCTGTAAAGTGACATCAACGGGGATAAGACCTAATTGATGTTAAAGACCACTGAATTATACAATGATACACCGAGTTTAATCAAAATCGTTAGAGCCCCTTTTAAGAAAATTGTAAAAATGTGTTTCACCTTTGAGATAAAGTGGCACTTCCGGTAAGCCGATTTTAAGGGAAAAGTTGCTGTAACGTCTAAGGCATATACCTATCTTAAATAAGTAATATCAGTTTCGTACTTTCGTTTTCGAGCTACACTGCTAACATACACACACACACACAGACCATTTTTCGGGACTTTATATTTTGACTCAAGGTACCCCAAAACGTGTATTTCCGTTGAAAACTCAGATTCAAAAATTTTCACAACCACAATACTTACCCTTACTATAATAATAATAATAATAATAAGGCTTAGCGAACCCGAAGGTTCGATGCCGACACCACCAATCGCTTGTTACACACCTCCCTCCACCGTTCGCCGTCCAAACCCAGTCCCTTCAGATCAGCTTTAATGCAATCTTCCCACCTTCGCTTCGGTCTACCCCTCCGACGCTTACCATTCGGCACAGCAAATATTAACCTTTTAGGAATTCTCTCGTTACTAAGCCCAACAACTTTACAAGCCCATTTGATTCGCCGCGATGAAATTACCTCAATTATATTACCCGGATATAGCTCACGCAATTCGGCGTTGTGTAACCGTCTGAACTCTCCGGTTAACTCATCCTTCTTCGGTCCGAATATTCTACGCAATACTTTATTTTCAAAAACCTTAAGACGCTGCTCATCCCTTAATGTAAGCTGCCAAGTTTCGCATCCATAAAGAACTGTAGGCAAAATAATTGTTTTATAGATTCTAATTTTTAAGTTTCGGGACAAGAGGCGCGAACTGAGTAGTTTTGTCACAGAAAAATAACAAGCATTCCCCGCCTTCAGTCTAACTTTAATCTCTTCTTCAATTTCGTTTTTTCTAGTTATCGTAGAACCTAGATACCTAAATTTATCTACCTGTTCAAACATATTACCATCTATATCGATATCACCAGTAGTATCGCCATTTTTGCAGCTAACCATATATTTTGTTTTATCCACGTTTATTTCGAGTCCTAGTTCTTTACCGGCTTTCATTAACGTTGTCGTATTTAGTTTTATAGTTTCAACGTCTTCGCTTAACAGTACCAGATCATCAGCATAGCCCAGCACGGATGTTGTCCCGCCCAGATCCAACCCTTTCTCGGTACGCATTACCTCCCTAATGGCATGTTTTAATGCCAAATTGAACAGGACAGGCGAAAGAGAATCCCCCTGTTTTAAGCCCGAACGAACCTCAAATTTTTCGGACAAATTATTACCGATTCTAACTTTATTGAGTGTCTCCGTCAAGCACATCCTGACTAGATTTACTAGTTTTTTTGGAATTCCCTGCTCGGTTAGAATATTATACAGTTTCTGGCGGTCAATAGAATCGTAAGCCTTTTTAAAATCTATATACAGCTGGTGAACAATACCGTTATACTCCAATTTTTTCTCTAATATTTGCCGTAAAGAAAATATTTGATCAATAGTCGAACGATTCCGTCTAAATCCGCATTGGTAGTCTCCGATAAGTTCCTCGGCGTATTCCGTGATTCGACTGGTTAAGATTGAAGTGAATATTTTATAACATACCGGAAGGAGTGAAATTCCTCGATAGTTATTACAATCCGTCCTCGGACCCTTTTTGTGAATCGGAATAAGAATAGATTCTTTCCATTCTTCAGGTAATTTCTCGTTCACCCAGATCATTTCAACCAACCGATGTATTTTAGAAACTCCAGCTTCCCCGCATGCCTTAATTAGTTCAGTAGGAATATTATCGATTCCCGCTGCTTTATATGATTTTAATTTACCGATAGCTACTTCAACTTCCTCTTTACTCGGTCCTTCTATCAACGGTTCAGCACTCTGGTACTCAGAAGGAGGACACAGATCATAATTTCCCGTATTTAAAATATTGTCAAAGTGGTCCTTAAATTTATTCAATATGTCAGCCGGATCGGTCAGAATATTGTTATTATCATCCCTAATTCCAGACGTTACGGGCCCTACATATTTACGTGATCTGTTTATACCTTTGTACATGTCTCTTACGTTATTTTCGATTCTATTAGTTTCTATTTCAATTATTTTATTTTTAAGATACTCCCTTTTTTTATTTTTGAGCAATTTTGTCGTTTCGTTCTTTGAGATTCGGAAGTATTCCAGATTGTCTTCGCTAGGATTATTTAGAGCTTTTAATTTAGCGGCTTTCCTTTTTTCGCACATGTTTAAGCAATCTTCATCAAACCACGGTTTGTTATTCTTATTTTCCTTTTTTCCTAGACACGAGTTACCGACCGCTTTAATATTATCCCTGATCTCTACCCATAACTTGTCAATATCCTCGTGGTCCTCGTCAGGAAGCTCTAAAGCTTCAAACCTATTCTTAACATCTAGCTCGAATTGGTTTCTAATTGATGGATTTTTTAATTTTTCCAAATTAAAATTCTCAAAATCGAAACGGTTTTCTTTTCTCTTTTTTATATTAAGTTTTTGTCGAAGTTTCGCGATTACTAATTCATGATCCGACCCACATTCTGCTCCGCGATAAGACCGTACATTGATTATACTGCTTTGCCAGCTGTGTTGTATCAAGACATGATCGATTTGATTTCGTGTTTGCGAATCCGGCGATGTCCAAGTATATTTATGAATATCCTTACGTTTAAACGTCGTACTTTTAATTACCAGGTTTTTCGAGATGGCAAAGTTTATCAGACGGATCCCATTATCATTACTATATTCGTGCAAACTTTCTTTACCAATCGTCTGAATATAAACTTCTTCCCTTCCTACCTTTGCGTTCGCGTCACCTACAATTATTTTCATGTAGTTTCGCGGTAGTTTATCATACACCCATTCGAGTTTATCGTAAAATTCACTTTTGACTTCATCGTCACTGTCTTCGGTCGGACAATGTATGTTTATTAATGCGATTTTAAACCAACGTCCCTGAAATGTAGCTACCGAAATTCTATCACTAAAGAATTGTACGTCCCTCAAAGCGGATAGTAATCTACTCCTAATTAGAAACCCGGTACCTAAACAATGATTCCCGCTTCCTCCGTACCAAATAGTGTACTTTCCTTCCCTCATCGAGCCCTCCCCTGGCCAGCGAACCTCTTGCAGAGCCACGACATCCAAATTGTACCCATTTACCTCATTCGCGACCGATTTTAGCCCCCCTGCTGTGTTTAAACTCCTTACGTTCCACGTACCAATATTTAAATCCCTATATTTCAACTTGCGGCATGAATCCCCTAAAGCAGTCCCCACCCGGAGACCCGAACGGGGGACTAGTTTACCTCCGGATAATGAGCGTTTTACCTTAGGGAGATCCATGACTTTTTGTGGTGTTTGGTGAACTAAAGATATGTGAGTAGGGCGTTCAATCCTACGTCACACCCTCCAGCAAGTCTGGTGGGCCCCTCCCTCCAGCAAGTCTGGAGGTCCCCTCCCTCCAGCAAGTCTGGAGGTCCCCTCCCTCCAGCAAGTCTGGAGGGCCCCTCTCATTGTTGGTCAGCGAGTCCATCGGACTTAGCCGGGAGGAACTTCCAAGGAATTTCCACCGACCATCCCCACATCCGCCACCCGTGGGACGCTCCCCATACGCGGTAATGAGCCCGCGCGAGGTACCCTTACTATATATTACAAATATACGTAAGTGAAAGTAAAAAATAATTGCATAAAACATTTATAGCTGACATCTTTATTAAAGAGAGAGGTAGTAGCTGAACCCAAACCAATTTAATCACACTGTAGATGGAACTTCGAATATTTCCGAGGGTAGCCACAGCATTAATTTCTTTTATGTTATTATTTTAAAAATTTATTTATTTAATCGATGATTCTTTTAATTTATTATGGTTAAAATATTAAGCAAAAGTGAAATCAGTTATTTTAATAATGTTGTTAATATTCAGTATACACTAGTTTATAGTTCGTTATGGATTGTAACCCTAGCTATATAAACAAGCCCTAAGCCCATGGACTTCGCCAATATAATCTGACTCTGTCTGTTACTGTGCTCAATGGTGCCAACCTCGATACTGGCCATTGCACTCCTAGTGGGAGGAGATATATTCTTCACTCATGTGTACTTGCCTTTGCCCATTTTCTTTAGATTTTTTATTAGCGCTCATAGATCAACATCAAATGGCTGTAAGAGGACTAGAGTACCAACGGTTCATCTGCTACGACCACCATCAGCGTGCGATCCACCATGTAATGTATAACTTTGGTTGAATAGAATTTATAGCAACATTTTATAGTGGGGACGGTTAATTATATTCCTTGTTTCAGAGCTGTTTTTATTTTAATTGTTTTCTGTTAATCTTTGTTCTAATCTATAAGAAGTTTTTTTTTCTGAGGAAATTGTCATAAATGATGAATTTATTTTAAAATTCATTAATTTAATAAAATATCACAAACACCCATGTCCTTTTCAGTTGAATCATAAGATAATTTGATCAAAAAATTTAGGATTTATTTACAATACTACAAACTTTGTCTATTTAATCAAGTACTAAAAATTCATAAACATCCATCTGCTTTCTACTTGAATCGTAAGATAATTTGACTAGGAAATGGAGACTAAAGATGGTCTACATGAATACTGGGACGTTTTGCGTAAAATCTACCTCCAACATGTCAAAATAACCAAGTTATTTAGGCTAAACGGTCCAATATTTTTATAGACCAATTTCGTTTCACGATTTTCTGATCAAATTACCTTATGATTCAAATCGAAAGCAAATGGAAGTTCACAGTGACAGCCTTAAACATTTTTGTATCAAGTTTTATTTTATTTAGAATAAATTAAATGTAATGTAAAATTGATTTAATTTGTTTTTCTTACATTATGAATAATTATATAGAAAAATAAATGTTTAATCCAAATAACGTTTAAACTTTAATCTTTACAGTTTACTATTTTATTATAAATTTTTTTTTGTATAAAATATCTTCGTTAAGCTTCACTCGAAGTTTAATTAAAACCTTGAGGGAACTTAACACCAAATCTTATAAATAAAAATTTGTTTCAAATTAAAAAATCGGAGAGAACAAGAAGAAACTGTTTTAGATTTATGCTTTCTTGCAAATACATAAAAAAAAAAAAAAAATTCACTGTCCTTTATCTAGAGGTCCGACTATTTTCGGGTAATTTTCTTTGTCCCGCTCCCTATCTAGAATGTCCCTAAAAAAGAGATTCCAAAAGCACAGTGTATGTACAATCCGGCTAGTATATTTTGGATTGTCTTGTAAATATAGATGTTCTTAACAAGAGGTTTCACTGTACCAGAAGAAAGTTTCAGTAAAAGAATTGATATTGATTAAAAGTATTTTAATCTCTCTGGTTTCAGATTAGAACAAATAATCAATTAAGGAGAAGAATCGTCAGCTAAAACACACTTTTTTTTTCTTTTTCGAACAACAGGAACCATATTTTAAAATATAATATGGTTTTAAATAAAAAAAATTATAAATACAAATGTTTGTATTACATCTTTGGTAAAGGAAGTTGCAGTCTTGTAACCATTTTGGAGCCATTTTTCATGAAGTTCTTTATTTACAATATTTACACCGTTTTCAGTCAAATGTTCCTTTCCGAATCTAAAATAGACAACAAAAAAACTATGAAGAAACATATATTTTAAGCCAAACTTAATTATAGTCTCTCTGAGCTATAGTTAACTTCAAAAAATGTTAAATTCAAAAACAAAATTCTAAGGAATGATTAATATAAGAAGCATTGAAGTCACAGCTAAGAGAAAAAACAGTTAAAATCCTATAACTACTACAGTATTATTAGGAAGCGCAGAAATTATAAAAAAAACAAAAACATATAAGGTAAGAAAATCATTACGCACCTACAAGTTACACCTCTCGAACACATTCCTTGAACTGAGTAAATATAACACGTGTCTCCGACATCCGGAGGCTTATTTTCTAAAAATGCTTTCCGGTCATGGGAAAACTTACAGGCATCATTTTCACATTTTTCTATGGATTCATCGACTGAAGCAGCTATAGCATAGCAAAAATTAGCTTTATCTGCACGAAAAACATTACGTGCCTTGTTCTGGCCTAAAACAATACAAAAGTAATTACATAAGTAGAACCAAGAGGCAGCATTATTAGAATATCATTATATAAAGAATATTCAGCGATATAAGTCCACAATTGTCAGATATGGTCAACAGGTAGATCAAGATCATATTGACAACAATATACATAGAGTCCTAAAAGTAGTAGGTCTAAAAATATAAAGATGCGGTTGATCTCTTGCTAAGGCCCCAACCTCAACTGAAGAGAACCCATCGGGGATTTGTTGATTCTTTTTTTAGGGTCTATAAGGGGTAGTGCGCGGTTTCCGACGGTTTCATCTTTGTTTTTTGAATGTTGAGTTCAATCCCTAATTTTATTGGACTTAAAAGTAATTTTAACTTTTTACTTAACCATACTAACAGTAAATATAAGATAATATAATATTTAACAATATCAAAGGTTACAAACATTTACTTAAAGGAGACCCTACACGGTCATTCGGAATTGCATTCCGAGGCACTAATGACGTTCCAAATGATCGTGTAAGGTAGTAATTGGAGTACTGATGGACGTGTCTGGCGGATTTCCGGAAATCAAAGATTCATTAACCAGAAGTGGAGGCGAGACTAAGGTAAAAGTAGTGGGGAAACTAACCATACTACTAGATAGGTTAATTTACCTAGACCTCGCAACCATTATAAATTTCTGATTTTCATTAAAAGTAAATAATTAATTAGTTTTTCATATCTCTTGTTCATATTTTATAAACGATCTTCAACTATTTTTTTTTTTAAATAGCAAAGTGGTCAACAAATTTTTAAAAAAGTGGAAACTTCACAATTTACTTAAAGAAAAATATTAATCTTTAACGGTTGTGTATATTTGTCAGTTCTTTTCCCATTATTCTCAACAAATTTATAATTTTCGCAATAACTTTCCTTAATTTTTGTAACTAGTAGACTTGTTACACCTTCTCTACTGGTCTTTTAAAAAATAATGCCAGTTAAAATCTGGCATTGATTAGCTTTAATATCATTGCTTCCACTCCTGCCTCGCTCAAAAGGTGTAACAAACCACTAATGGGTACTTTTCAGTTGAGGTTGGGGCTTCTGAGACAGTTCAATCAGTCCCGTCTATTTTTTAACACACTCAGCCATTTATGATGTGTTTATGAGATCTTGTGTCTCTGACAAAAGAAGAGTGAAATTCGTAGACCATTGCCTAACGAAAGAGATTAATGACGGCTATTTTGGGGAGTAGGCACAAGTAAGGAGTATGGATGAAGTAGAAATAATGGTAAAATTAATTACCAGTTATTATGAAAGATCCATAACACTATATGTTTAAACAAACCTGTCAGCTTCCTTTTCTTATTCGACCATTCTTGTTTTTCATCTCCTTCAAGTTTTCTTTTATCGTTTTCAGATATATGAGTTTGACACAGGGATCGCTCATGATCGGTTTTGATAAACCTAGGACAATGCACAGTTCAAAATTATTTATTTGTATGGTTTTTATAAAAAATACTATTATATATCAGATTTCGACATTAGTATAGTCAAAATCGATTATTGAATAAATTACTCAGGTTTAATCAAAGCAACTCCAGCATCAGCTTCCATTATTTGTTTAACCCATAAACAATGAAGATCAACACATGCCTTGCCACACTACTTTTGAAGTGAAACAGCTGTAGATCATGAACGAGTGGTCAGACCAAAGAGGCAATACTGAAAAAATATGGGAAAGTATATATGTATTGATTTTTAAGATGAAGATGCGGCTAGAAAAGAAATCCAGAAAGGAAAAATATACTAAAATAATTTGAACTAATATTGGAAGTATACAACTTGTAGTGAAATAGGATTAAAACAACAGTTTTCGGCACACTTAACAAAACTTTAAAATGTCTTCGTCCCGTTTTCAATAGCGTGGGTATTTGTTTTAACAATTTCGGTTCTGTTAAGCCAGTAAAGATCTCTAATTTAAAATATTATGTGAAACTGTGTCTTTCATTTATTTATTTTATAATAAAACGGGAAAATATCCGTGTGCACCAGTTCTTGGCACCCTTAAGTACCAGTTTTCAGCACATCTTACCCAATTTTCAAAAACCTAAAGAATTAAGACAAGAAGATTGGTATCTCTTCTTTTTAACTCTTGTCTTAGAAAATGTGGCGAAAAATGTAGGAACCCAGAACCATTGTACGATAAGTGGTCATATGTTTCAGATCCATAGTTATGCTTACTATTTTGATACATGTATTGTATAGGTCGTAGCTTGTGCTAGAGGGCACTGCCGATTGCAAACATACTTTAAACCTAATTAACAAGAAACCTGAATTAAATGAGACTTGACTATGAAAATATTAGTAGTCAGAACGATTTTAGAATAAACATACACAAATAAAAAAGCACTTTTAATCTCTCTATCATATAAAACAGTTTATAGTAGTACCTTAGAAATGGATAATTAATCGACTGATCAATTATGAGGACGAAATAAAATTGTCAGCATTTACAGTCAAGAATTTTTATTAATTGTGGGTAAATGGTTGACTGTCGTGAATAATGAAGAGAAGAATAGTTGGGGTGATCAGTCAAATAAGAAGGCAAAAATAAATGATAATATTTATTTTGACATTTGCTGACGTTTCGACCTAAAGTTCAGGCCTTCATAAGGGCTAAGAAAAGAACCAGATAACAAGGTATGAGAAACATAAGTAGCGTAGGTAAAAAAATTAAAGTAAAATGAAGTTGTTAAAATAATGACAATGGTAAGAACTAAGAAATAAATAATAATAACCGTTACAAAGTGTGGAATGATGAAGTAAACTTAATCAAAAAAGGTGACATAAGTATTAAAATGGTAATCTTAGAATAAAATGTAAAACTGAAAAAAGGAATATGAAGTTATATAAGAAATGAAAATAAATAGTAAAATTAAGATATTCCAAATAGAATAGTTAGATAGAAAATCGAGATATTGTAAAGCTAAGAATTTTTATTAGCCGATGTTTCGACCCAAACATGTGGGTCATTCTAGGGCTATCGTTTGGGAGTCAATACAAGAACTGAGTTTGAATACATTAATATATTAGTTCTTTTTTGTATTGTTCGTTTTAAAATAATTACGTTGATTATGTTTATTATCATTCATAATTTATATATATATATATATATATACAAGAAAAAATTGTTTATAAGTCTGAGCCTGTGCAATATAAACAATTATAATTGTGTATAAATTATTCTGGAAAACTTCGCTCTGACTGATCTTTATTGATATCATACTCTAAAAATGAAACAATAGGTTTATGATAACAAAAATATGCGATGAATACTTTTGATTGAAATCTATTTAGTAAACATCTAACAAAAATTCCGTCAATCGTTATTCTATATTTATTTGTGCTTTTCAACCCCGTCTTGATGTTTTCAATTCTATCATGTGATCTTAAGCAAACTTCGTGATTTTTTTGTGTGGAATTAAAAAAAAATCTAGTCTAGATATTATAAAAATATGATTTATAGAAGTATTATAGCATTAGAAGGGTTTTACAGTGTATTAAAAAGGAATAATATGTTCCAGAATCGATACAAAGTCGTCTTGGCAGCAATAATCAACACCTCGTCTCACCTGTCTATTTCCAACTACCACTTCATGTGAAATGCTTTCCAGTTCCAATCAATTACTATGCACATATAAATTGAAGGAAAGTTGATACATAAAATATAATATACGCTGTATTAACCATGTACCCGGCAACATTGAACGATGTTTTCAAAGAAGTTGAAAATTTCACGCGATTTCAACGGATCCTAGGCGTGTCTTCATTGGTCTATTCCAATGGCAAACTCAAGATATCCATAAAATGGCTTGTTATAAGCTTCATCAGCCTCAGTGCTAGTTTAATCTTCATATATACGGTTCACTTGATTCGTTCCAAACTCTATATCAACAGCTGGTACTGCTCTTTGACAATTCTTTATAACACGTTTCAGCGTTTTGCTTTGTTTGGCCTCCTGGATCCAAAGTAACATTAACGTGGACCTCTTGAACATGTCCCTGTCCAGGATGAGAGCCGTGGACTTGCAGATGCTGTCCATTGGAATGTTGATATCTCCAACCGAACCTAGCTGGGTGACCTTCTTTATTTATACCCTGATGACTATTGGATTCTTCCCTAAAGCCACTCTACTGCTTTCGTTCATCGGCTCCATCCAATTCGTCTTACTCTATGAACCTTACGTTTTCATAATTTCAATTGAAGACTATGTTGACAGGATCGATTCCTTACTTCGCCTTCGTTCCGATGCCACCAAGAAGCATATATTAAACTGCTTCAAAACGGATGAGGAGAACGCTGTTAAAGTTTAGGAATATGGATACTCTGCCATGATCACCTTAGCAATGCCTCAGATGACGTTGACGAATACTTTTCCGTTCATGCAACTTCAGTATTGTCTGCAATTTTCCTTGCACCATTTTGTAATGTTTACGTAATTTTACTTTTGTTCAATGCCGCAGAGGGAAAAGCTCCAGACATCTCTATTTATAAAATATTCATTATCTTCATTTATAAGCGCAAGTGGAATAGTTAAGCGGCTACCCCATCGCCTGCGATACAAGCCAAAAAAAATCCAGATTTTTGTATTTTTACCTGTAACTTCTGAACGGTGGATCAAAGCGAAAAACTTATTCTTTAAGAAATTAAAGAAAGTTAAATTGTGAGTCGAATGGGACCTAATCTAAGAATTTAATTAAGTAATATGATCGAAAACCACGGTTAACGAATACTGATTTTTACAAAAACTGAGACAAATGAATATAAATGGCCCTGCAGAATGAAAATGAGTTCTCTAACAGAAAAAAACTGAAAGAATAGAAGTTACATAGCATCAAATTCTGCATGCATCCACTATTTTTGATATATTATATATTTCGGATAATTAAACCTTAAACCTTTAGGGTATAGTTAGTGACAATAATCCTTTTTGAAATTTCTGTATTTTTCAGGGTTCAAAAAAAAAATAATACTGTTTTGTAAACATTTATAGTTTTTAGAGTTAAGTGGCCTAACTGAAAATATGAATTAAGGACCTCAAAACAAGAACAAAAATTCTTATGAAGGTATGTCCGCAAACGCTTGGTTTAGGAGATATTCACACTTTAAGATTTTCGTTGTTTTGAATTATTTATATTATATGAAATAAATAAAACCTATTTACTTGTTTGAACTACTTTATTAATTAAACGTAAACATTAAATTTATATTAAATGTTGTTCAAAGTGATTTTCTTGAGCATTAGGACAGGCTTGGCATCTTTCTTCAACAGCAGCAGTGGCAGAACGGCATGGATATGTGTCATTGTTTCACAAGATTCAACTACCCTTCGTCGTAAGGAATTAAGGTCATTGACGGGACTAGCACAGGCTCCTTGTATAATGTCACCCCATGTATGTCAACGAAAAAATCCAGTTGTGTCAGATCTGGAGAGCGTGCAGGCCAAGCCACTGGTCCTGCAAGGCCAATCCATTGATTGGGATAATTAACATTAAGCCATTGTCGTGTGCCTCATCCGTAATTTATAGGACAACCATCTAATTGAAGCCACATGTCCCTTCTCAGTTGTAGTGGAATATGTTCAACTAAATCATAGTAATCAACATTAAGAAATTCCAGAAATGTGCCTGCATTGAGTCGAGGTGGCAAGAAATGTGGAACTATTAAAATATTGTCTATTATCCCCAACCACACATTGTAATGCTTAATGTTTACATTTAATTAATAAAGTAGTTAGGACAAATAAATAGGTTTTATTATACAATAAGGCTGTGTTAATTTCTTCACCATATTTATTTCAATTTACATAGCTAAATTACAAATTGTATACATTAAACATGAGAGGTATGGGGACATCTTCCATAGCATGGGTACATTTCTAGAAATTTTTCACCTAAAAATAATGTGAAAAACTGAAAAATACATATGATTTCTTAGTTTGTATAACCTTCAAATAGAAATAAAACGTTTTCACATTGACTAGTTATGTAAAAATTTCTATAAAAATAATCTTTATAAAATATATTTATAATTGTACATATTAAGTATATTTTTTCCAATTTCATAGCAGAAAATCACTTGAAAATGGGGGTATCCACATGAAAGGTCAATGAATCATAAAATCCAAGAGATCGAAACAATATTCTTGCTTTCAACTAGTGGATTTTTTTTTTTGCTTTTATTTGCAGAGCTTCAATTATATTATAATGATAATTACTTTGGAGAAAAAAGGAAAATACTAACTACATATATGAAATGGTGTTTAAGGGATTCTTGAAGTCCTATTAAAGTTAATTACATGAACAATAATAAGTGAAGAGAATATTTTTTACCATAAATCATGGTTACATTCCAGCATTTTGGGGAGAGGGCTTAGTTCGAAAGGCTGTCCCCTCTCCCTAATATTATCATATTGTCCTATTTATAAATACAACTAATAATATAATGTTTATAAAAAATTTTCCTAACATATTTGTTCTTAAATTGCTAGCGTTTAAAAACAAAAGAAGCAACGGTTTTTTTCCCATTGTTTTTAAACATTGAAAACCCATAACTGAAAAATATTGGTCCTACGAAGCTAAAAGTTTTACCATTCCATTCAAAATAACAAGGACTTTGATTTGACTCCTTAATGAAATATACTAAAATTAAATTTTAAAAATAAATTGACCTATTTGGCACAAAATCAATGATTTGAACTTTTTGAAAAAAAAAAAAAAAACCCTAATATTTTTAGTAATTTATTTCACTTATGTAAATTTCATTGAGTGTATCATTAACCAAATCTTTGAAGTATTTTCTTAAATTTTTTTTTTATCATTGCAACTCACATATATTCACAAAACTTGGCTTTTTGTTTTAATTTTCTGTAATTACAGAAAAACATTTAAAAAAATTTTTCTGATGTAATTACAGAAAATTTATATTTTTTAAAATCTTATTTTGAACCACTAATCATAGAGGTCTTGTGGAAAAATACTGAAATCCAAAAATCAATACCTGTTTCTTAATTTGTCTTAGTATATGATTAAACGACCAACTAAATAATCTGAAAACGAGAAAAAAAACGTGTTTGTAAGAGAATAAATCTGACAGCACAGCAGTTAAATGAAAAACATGAAACACATATAACAAGAATTTGAAATTTATTGGATTATATATAATTTTTTTTTAATTATTCAAGAAATTACTTTATTTAAATAAAACTGCCTATAGTAACTTGACTAATGTATAAACTTAACATTGCCACAATATACCCTTAATGCACCGCAAACTGAATACTAAACATACCAGGGTAAAAGCCCCAGTAGCTCTTACAGTGTACCAATATCTGACATCCTCCAAAAAAAAAAAAAAAAAAATAATAATAATAATAATAAGGCTTAGCGAACCCGAAGGTTCGATGCCGACACCACCAATCGCTTGTTACACACCTCCCTCCACCGTTCGCCGTCCAAACCCAGTCCCTTCAGATCGGCTTTAATGCAATCTTCCCATCTTCGCTTCGGTCTACCCCTCGGACGCTTACCATTCGGCACAGCAAATATTAACCTTTTAGGAATTCTCTCGTTACTAAGCCCAACAACTTTACAAGCCCATTTGATTCGCCGCGATGAAATTACATCAATTATATTACCCGGATACATCTCACGCAATTCGGCGTTGTGTAACCGTCTGAACTCTCCGGTTAACTCATCCTTTTTCGGTCCGAATATTCTACGCAATACCTTATTTTCAAAAACCTTAAGACGCTGCTCATCCCTTAATGTAAGCGGCCAAGTTTCGCATCCATAAAGAACTGTAGGTAAGATAATTGTTTTATAGATTCTAATTTTTAAGTTTCGGGACAAGAGGCGCGAACTAAGTAGTTTTGTCACAGAAAAATAACAAGCATTCCCCGCCTTCAGTCTAACCTTAATCTCTTCTTCAATTTCGTTTTTAAAAAAAAAAAAATGAAAAAAGAAAAAAAAAAAAAAAAAAAGAAAAATAAGATTGCAGGATCTAATTCAAACATTTTTGGTCTTTATAATTTCTCATTATAAATTTGTCTGCTTTGTTTTATTCATGCCGGAAACCATAACTGAAATAATGGGTGGAAAATTAAGACGGTCCCTTACAGTTCACTTACTATCCCAGAAACAACCATTTATCAGCAAAAATATTTAGGTTTAGATTTTTCTCTTTAATTACTTTGATTTATCTCAATACTTTTATTTTTTCTTCAAGTGTTCTATACTTTTTTAATTTACCCTGATGAAGGAATTGCAAATTTAAAGAATGTCAGCTAGTAGAACCTTATAATGGGGCCTGTCGCCAGTAGGTAATAGGACTGTACTCTCTTAAATTCAAAGAGATACACTTAATATGAAGGGCTTTAAAAATGAGACTATTCGCAACTCTCTCATTTAAAAAAATTGTAATTGATTTGGATTAAATATAAAGTTTTGTTGAAGAGAAGAATATTTGGGATGATCAGTTAAATAAGAAGACAAAAATAAATGATAATATTTATTTTGACATTTGCCGACGTCTCGACCTGAAGTTCAGGCCTTCATCAGGGCTAAGAAAAGAACCAGATAACAAGGTATGAGAAACATAAGTAATGTAGGTAAACAAAAAATTAAAGTAAAATGAAGTTGTTAGAATAGTGACAATAGTAAGAACTAAGAGATAAATAATAATAACTGTTACAAAGTGTGGAATGATGAAGTGAACATAATCAAAAAAGGCGACATAAGTATTAAAATGGGAATCATAGAATAAAACGTAAAACAGAAAAAAAAAAAAAAGAATATGAAGTTATATAAGATATGAAAATAGATAATAAATAAATCTTAATTTTACTATTTATTTTCATATCTTATATAACTTCATATTCCTTTTTTTTTTTTCTGTTTTACGTTTTATTCTAAGATTCCCATTTTAATACTTATGTAGCCTTTTTTGATTATGTTCACTTCATCATTCCACACTTTGTAACGGTTATTATTATTCATCTCTTAGTTCTTACTATTGTCACTGTTTTAACAACTTCATTTTACTTTAATTTTTTTTTTTTACCTACACTACTTATATTTCTCATACCTTGTTATCTGGTTCTTTTCTTAGCCCTGATGAAGGCCTGAACTTCAGGTCGAAACGTCGGTAAATGTCAAAATAAATATTATCATTTATTTTTGCCTTCTTATTCGACTGATCACCCCAACTATTCTTCTCTTCATTATTCACGACAGTCAACCATTTTCCCACAATGATAAAGTTTTCTTGGTGCCAAAAACAGGTTCTGGGCAGTAACCAGTATTTATCGATACATACAAGTCGAGAAACGTTATGAAGTTAGTTTTATAATACTTTAAAGGCAATTTTTGTTAATATCTGTTTTAAAATGAAGAATA